AGCGGTTCTGCTCCCGTCCATCTGTGTGCTGGTGCAGGATTTTGTTTAGCCGAGTCTTACATATGGTAACAGCAGTTTTGTTTCATTTCTCTGTGAGAAAATATTCTGTCAATCAACAGACAGAAAAAACGCTGCTGAGCTCTGGGTAAAGGCAGCTCGATAGTTTCTTTTGAGTAGTTTTAGTTCTCTAAGTTAAAGCACTACCAAACACTGAGCTGTATGGTGGATCAGATCCATAAAAGAAATGAAACTACGACACACAACTATAAAAAAATACAACCACCTTGGAATGTGAGATAAAAGACACAAACATAATAAAAAAAGTTACATATATTGCATTCAAAATGTTTTCAAGCATAACTGCAACACAAAACTACAAGATTTTTCTTCCTCTTAGTTGCATTTACCATTGTAGATTTTCATAACTGGACTCATTTCAGTATCAAAGCTGAAGACATTACTTTTTCCCCATAGGTTAAACTACTGTTTTGGTTGGGATTTTTTCTTCTCGGTATCAAGTAATTCAGAATATCCTCTCTCTGTAGGGGGCTCACGTAAATCTTTGAGTTTTCCCTGGATTTTTGGAGCACATGTGCAGATGTTGCTTCTTCCCCTTAGAAAAGGTACTACTGCACACGGCTGCGGGCACACACGGGGGTGCATCTTTCCCCTGGAGTGTTGGATGTGTAAAAAAGGTTTTCCGGGAACCTGAGCTTGGTCATTGGGCAATACAAACCCAAAGTAAATATTGAGCTCAAATAACCCCAGTTCCCCCCACCCGTGAATCTGGTTTTCTAGCCTCAGATTCCCACCCTACACCACCCGCTTGAAGCAGTGCAGTGTGCAGAGCAGCTTTTATGCACTGGTGTGCTGCAGAAGCGTGCCCTGCGGATCTTGGGGGTTTGTTCTCTGTGTCCCCTTATGTGTGCAGGAGTACTCAAAAGAGGTGTGTCCTTTTTGGACAAAAGCAAACTGGGAACACCAGAGGGAAGACACCGTAGCTTCTATTTCTAGTCCCATCTCTGGGATCATCAGTGCAACGTTCCCCCCCATCATGTTTATATAAACCAACTTTTTCTGCTTCCTTTATATCTAGAGGGTTTGAGTCAACACATTAAGTGAAGTCTGATCTAAGCCGACCTAAGTTGGCATAGTGCAAACAGTTTTGAACAGGAATTATTAGTTTTAGACATAACCTCTTTGGTAGCAGATTTTGCCATCGCTGGTGGTGTTGGTAAGCACCATCCGCAACCAGTTCCCTGCGCTGTGGTGGCAGTAAGACAGTGGCAGGACTCAGAAGGTGAGCTGAAACTTAATGCCGTTGCGTCCATTGTACACTTCAGCTGCCCCCGACACGTCTTTTCCCCCCACCCCACCCTGCCCTGCCACAGGTGATTTTTTTATTTACCAGGAAAAGGAAGAAAGTTGTTTCTGTTACAGCAGATACACTTGAACTGCCCCTTTTTTTTTTTTTAACCATAGCAGAATACTGATTTTCCTTACACCAAATATTATTGTTAGGTTTTGTGTTTTCTACGTTTCACTGTCTTCCTTTTAGGGTTAAAACACAGTATCCCGGGGCTGAAATAACTACTAAATCCTTTGACTTGCAGGCAAATACAAACCTCTAAGATTGTCTTTTGGAAATGACTGCAATTTTCCATCTGCAGTGGCAGCAGTGACCAACTCTGAACTGCAGCGTGTCAATGACTGTCTTTCCAGGTGAGACAGCAGATACACTGATGGGCCTGCGGTACTGCAAGGAGAGAGGAGCCCTGACCGTAGGAATAACGAACACAGTCGGCAGCTCTATATCACGAGAGACAGACTGTGGAGTCCATATCAATGCAGGACCAGAGATCGGGGTTGCCAGTACCAAGGCAAGTCACAAGTTTATAGACCTCACTGATGATTATTGTTAATGTTACTGAAACTCCTCCTGAGGGTGTCGGCTATAGCGTGGGGCCTCTGTTAAATGCTTTCTGTTCCCTTTCATCGGCAGCCACTGATGATTGTGGAGTTACTGGCCATGTGCCCAGCAACACTCTTCATTTTCTTTTTCTTCTGTCTTGCAAAGGGCTTTTTTGCTTTTCTTTTTTTCTTTTTAAAAACAAAATATTGTAAGGAAGCAATATTAAACATTGCAAACAAAGGGGTCTCAGAGAGAAGAATTCCCTAAGAGACAAGAATTCTCTGCTCTTTGCCATCGTTTGTCTTGAGGTGCAAACTCACTTTAAACTAAGGTCTAAAGATGAAAAAGGAAATTCAAAGACAAGATTATGGAAACTTTGACTGCATTAACTGCCCTAATGGCACTGCTTTACTAAAGAAAGTGATGTTAAAACTACTTTCGGTAAATGGGGGAATGGTCTTTTACAGAAAACGAGTACTAATGTCCACCTAACATAGTTTGGTGGTTGATGCATCTGGCTACGTGTGATACAGTATGAAATAACTTGCTTTGCTGCGTTTCATTTTGATGAAGTGCTTCTTCATGGTGAAATCTGCTTTGATTTAGTTATATTTAGAGGCGAGATGATGTCAATCTGTTACATAAATTCAGCCAAAAACCACATTTGAGTTTAATAGTTCATTGGGGAATTTGATCATGGAAAATTCATGAGTCTCTTACAAGAAACTCTTGAACGAGTTGTTTGTCCCTGGGTTGTTTTCACACAGCCAACCTTACAGTTTGGAGATAACTGAAAATGGCATTTTCTCTCTGGTAATGTGGGGAGTTACCAAAGTTGTGCGTATGTGAAATATGAACTTGAAAAGATTCTGCCCTGAGATCGTCCAGAACTTCGTTTTGAGAACATGATATAAACACCCTGAGCGTTGTCAGCATGACCGCTTAGTGCTATTTACTTCTGTAACCTTCAGCTGCACCAAAACAAAGTAGATCCCATTCCATATCAAGCTCTGCTCATCAGCATCACTGAAGCTTTTCTAGATTCTTTCAGAGCTATTTAAACTTTCTCCAATATAGCAACATGAAAGCTTGTTTGATCATTGTTTAGGAAGGGACAGAAATACTATGAACCTTAATCTTCTTTCGAAGCAACTCCCATCCCAGGCTGGCGCCACAGACCATTTCATAACATTTGACTCACCGACTTCAGAGGCGGACTTTGCAGGAGCTGTTTCGTACTGTGCCTGAAATGTTTTTGCAAATAGAACTGCCTTAACCTGAGCACTATTTTCACTTGCCGGTGCAGATGATTTTTCCCCAAAGTCAGTGACACCACTCACTACAGTCTTTTAGACAAATACGGAGCCTCACCAAGGTGAAGAGTTCAGAATCTGCTCTTAAAGAAGTAGGGTGGGAAATCACTTACCTTTGTAGCTGCCTTCGTGTTCCCTGAATGCGGTCCAAAAGAATGTCAGGAGCTGTCCTGTTGCGATGGCAGATGGTGGTGGTGGGCTTCCCCTGTACATCCCCAGTCAGTGGGTCTGCCCATCTTCAGTGTTTTCAGCATTTACTTGCAGTAAAGAAGGACACGGGTACGGTCACAAAACAGGATTTAATAGTCACCAGGGAATCTTAGAAAAATTCCATTTTGCTTGTTGTGTGTCAGTCTGTAGGAGTATAAGGAGATGGTGCTGTTGCACACCTCCATTTGAGATTTGCCCTGGGAATTTCACGTTCATCTTTGCTACTTAATTGCAATGAAAGCTGCCATTCGGTACCACGTTAAGCATAAAGCCACCAGCCAGTGGTTTCACGTAGCAGGAGACAACTATCTGGTTACTGTCGTAATGACGTGATTTCTGTCTCTCTCCCCTCACTGACCAGGCCTACACCAGCCAGTTTGTCTCGTTGGTGATGTTTGCCCTGATGATGTGCGATGACAGAATTTCCATGCAGGAAAGGCGCAAGGAGATCATGCGTGGTCTGAAGGGGCTGCCAGGTAGGAAACTGCTGCATTTATTGCGTCTCACCAGGTGAAATTCAATAGCACAGATGAGCTTCAGCAGTGCCTGAACTTTGCTTTGGAAGACCGAGGGGATCCGATATGTGCAATGTGGCTATTAGCAATAATTTTTCCAACCGTGTTCTCTCCTAGTGCCTTCAGACCACTCAGTTGGACTAATAAAAAATAGAGTCCAATTTTTATGCAGGTCACTGCTATCTGTGTATCTGAAGTATAAACAGGATGTATAGTTTGAGAGGCGCAGGCATATAAGCACACACAACTGGAATTCTTCTCTTTCCTTCTAGACTTAATTAAAGAAGTGCTGAGTATGGATGATGAGATCCAGAAGCTCGCCACAGAGCTGTACCATCAGAAGTCCGTTCTCATCATGGGACGTGGCTACCATTATGCTACATGTCTTGAGGGAGCTTTGGTAAGAGATTTCTTTGTTTAAAGCCGGTTGTTAGCTATGGACTTCAGAGTTCAGCACAGGAAATGACACGTTGGCTACAGGTTGTTTTAAAAGCAGCTCCAACTGTGGGGGGTTGGCTGACTTATGGGGTCGAATAGCTAAAACTCACCGTACCACTGCTGAGACACCCAAGTGACAAACCAGCCGCAGACTGCAGGGGGTTGAAAGGGTGTATTTTCCCCATTCACACTGGGAATGCTTCACTGTACAGACTGGGCACCCTAATAAAAGCAGTTCTTTGAACTATGGGGGTGGCACTTCCAGGAACGCTCAGCATCTAAATTGAGCGTGGACTTTCTAAAACCCATGTATTGCAGTTTTTACCTTTGAGGAGTTTCGTGCTGTTGTAAGTGCTGTCACCCACTGACGTGCAAATGCTTTCTCTTTGCGTTTGCCTGCCCAGCTCCAGGCTGTGACGAGAGCTATGTTGGGTGATGGCAGATCGTAAGGCCTGTGGTGGCTTTGGTGTTAGAGCGGTAAGTGTTGATGGCCTGCAAGCAGCTCAGCCCAGATGCACGACTTTGATCTAGGTTTTCAGGCTGGCTTGTCTACGTACTGGATCTGAGGAGAGCCAGAACCCATTTTTACAAAGTCACAAAGAAAGTGGAAGAAGCCACAGAGATGGTTAAAAAAAAAATTACAACTTTGCCCGGAGCTTTATGATTTTTTTTTTTTTTCCCATCTAGAAAATTAAAGAAATTACCTACATGCACTCCGAAGGGATATTGGCAGGTGAGCTGAAGCACGGCCCTCTCGCGCTGGTGGACAAACTCATGCCTGTTATCATGATCATCATGAGAGACCACACATATGCCAAGTGCCAGAATGCTCTCCAGCAGGTCATTGCGCGGCAGGTAAGTACCTGGAAAAGATTACAGTGCATCAGAAACGTTGCTTTTAATATAAAGGGCACCCAAACACCAAACGCTAAACCCAAGCTTTTAGTTCGCTGCCTAAAATGTGAATTCAGTAGATATTCTGCGTGTTTCAAGTGCAATTTTGGCAGCGGGTTGCAGAAGCCTTGTGTGGTTTGTTTAAAATATCCTACAGGGATGCCCACGGGATGCTAAGCAGTTTTGTTCTAAATTAAGTAAAAAGTTCCTGCCACTGGCGCTCTGAACACAAGTGAGAAGAGAACCTTCCAGACCTGTTTTTCTTCAACATTTCTCTTTGTTGCAGGGGCGACCCGTTGTGATTTGTGATAAGGAAGACATCGAGACAATTAAGAACAATAAGAGAACAATCAAAGTTCCCCATTCGGTGGACTGTCTGCAGGGGATCCTGAGCGTCATTCCCCTTCAGCTTCTGGCGTTCCACCTTGCAGTTCTCAGAGGATACGATGTGAGTAGAGTGTTCCTTTCTGCACTCGTGTTTGCTGTCTGCACATCTGGAAAAGATGCCTTGGGTGATGTTGGAGGTTGGTGGGGGTTGTCTGTATAACTGCTTGCGCTACTTTGACGACCAGGGTAAATGGTAGAGCTGGCAATTACAGAAGCTTCTTGTGAACCAAACTTGAAGACAGTTTAGTACACTCGGCCGTCTCGTGCAGTTTGAGTTTGGACACGTGTCTGTTTTCTGGTAGAAGGGTAGAGTTTGTGGAGGGCAGGTAGGAAGCAGTAAAGGAAGGCAACAACCCACAGGAGGATGGTCGACAGAGTCTGTCTGTGTTTGGTGTTTGATCTTAATACAGACACTGCCTCCGCCTTTTATCACAGTGACCTTTTATCATTCGAGCGCTGTAACAACGTACACTAAAGGGACTGACTGACTCCTTAGTTCTTGTCAGAGGAGTCGTAACAATGGAGGTTTATGGACTTTTTCTCCACTGATCCTAAATTAACACAAAAATACGTTCAGTCGTTTTCAATTTAAACGCAGAACAAATGCTCCACACATTACAAAGTTATACACAAAGAAAGTGTGTAAATACTCACAAGCGTGTTCTTTCTCCTCCCTCTCTGCAGGTTGATTTTCCAAGAAATCTGGCCAAGGCCGTAACTGTAGAGTGAAAGATCATCTGAATCATAGGGGCAAAGGGGAATTAAATGAAAGACTTTTTTTGGTACCAAAATAACTTGATTTTAAAGTCCCCTAGGTAAATCTTATTTTGGTAAATCATTGTTTGTGTATAAGATCACCGTAATTCCATTACATTAGTGATTGTCAAATTGATTCCACGTGCTATGTCAATAGCTTTGGGGTTTTTTGAACAACGGACTTCCATGAAAGATATTAAATGGTTTTCTTTAAAGATTACTGAGTCCTCTAGGTAAGGGGCCCTCCACTTTACTTTAAGATAATGTCATTGTTTCTTATCCAGTGTGGCTCATTCCAATTGTTGATGAGAAACCATTGAATGAATTACCTGTCATGCTCTCAGGCAGCGAAGCAGGATACCAGAATATACAACTGGAACGAGAGCTGTTACTGGCCATGCTTGTGCAGATATTTTAACAGTGAATGAAACTGTAAACAAGCATTTGGGGTCAATTGCTGCCTCATGTACAAAAGGGAATTCAACTGACCTGTCACAACCTCCTAAATTTTAGGCACGTGGTAAATGTGCTAAGAAAATAATGTCGCTTCGGAAGGATTTTATTTATGCCAAATACCTAGCAAGGGACAATCTCGCAGACTCGGTGGGCCGCAAGGCGCTGTGTCACACCGGCGTGTGCCTGTAGTTGTGGCTGTGAAGACAGTGGAACTCAACGCCTCCGAGTGTCAGTGGAAGCAGTGCCTGACTCGGGACGGATGCTTACCAAAGCGGGGGAAGAGAGAGGAACGCCAACAGTGCTCAGTTTGTGCTGGTGTTTTGTCGTTGCTGTTGTGGAGTTTTTAAACAAGTAGAAGTCTTCCTGTGTTGAGGATTTTTCCCCTTGAACTGAGCACTGTGGCACTCTACACACATCCGAAGGAACCAGCTCTGTGCTGCTGCAGGTCACTTACTAGTCTGAATGCGTAGACGAAAGTTTCTACCTTTAATCTCTCCGGCAGAGAGACAGCACTAAAGGTCTCTCTCAGATGCGTACTACGTTCGCCAAAGTCCCTTAATGAAAGCATTGTTTAGGAGCAGTTTGTATGTGACTTGTGTCAAATTCAGCTGGTTTAAAATTGGAGGGGATACAAAAGGCTCAATAGACACGACAGAAATAGATACCTTGGTAATAGTTTTCTAACAAGCTTGCAGAGAATCAGAAATTACACAGAAAAGATGCCTTTGAGACTTAACACTGACTTTTTCGAAGACATTAAAGGGCAGTTAGCTATGTATTTCCTAATGCAAAAAGGTGAATTTCCTACCAGCCTGATGGGTTTTGAATTCGCTTTGCATACACACCATAAAAAGCAAAACACGCGACAAGGCGTAAAGCAATGCTTGCCAAGCGCTGGTGAATATTCCAGGCCACTTACTGCCCCCAAAGAAAGGCTTTACCAAATGCAGTGCCCGGGGGCTGCCCCCTACCCTTGAAAACCTGGCTCTCCTTGCGCAGGACGACTGTGGCTAAGCGGCAGCAATCCAGGCTGACTCGGACAGTGGAAGACGACTGTTCTGACCGAGGTGTTTCCAAAGACTGTGTTTGCAGTAATTTTACTTTATATAAAACCGCAGTAACTATTTAACTTCAGTTCCGTATCAGCTCAAGGCTTAGTTTTATTATGAGAATGAAATGCTGCGAGACTGGAAACAGCTTCTTGAAACCAATATCTGTATGTTTATTAATACATTGTATTCGGAGTATTAATTTATGAACGCATTGTGCTGCCAGTGTCTGGTTAAGAACAAAGCAGTAAGTACTGCATTTTACTTATACGGCATTTGCTGACGAGGCGCTGACTTGTAACAGTTACACGCCTCTGACCGGTAGACTTCCCTGCTTCATTTGAAGACGATACGTGTCCTTAAGAAAAAAACAACGCACATTCAATGCTAAAAAGTTGAAGACAGTTCCTCTCCCTCCTCTTCCCACTCAGCTCACTTAAGAGGAGAGGAACTGTGCAGCCCTTTCACGTGGGGGCTGGAGTCAAGGCAGGCACCCCCCTGCACCCCCCAACACAAGGACTGGCAGTATCCCCTCCTATGTTCCCGTTAGCATGGGATCTAAGGTGTAAAAACCCTCCAAGAGAATGATTATAACACCTTTTTCTCCTCTTCCACTTGAAGGGCAGCAAGCATTGCTTTCACCCAGCCTTGTACAGATGATTGTCTGCTACCTTCCCGAGTTTGCTAGGAGCAAACGGGATGTAGACATCCCCGTTCCAAGTTGCTGTTCAGTAGAAGTTCGATAACGCAGGCTGTTAAATATTTATGAAAGTTGTATACAAAGAGGACCAAAGAACAGGAGTCTAAGTCAGAAGTGCAAGTCTGACACTCTCGTGTCGGGTGTAACTGTACAGATGTTGCTGAGCTATTTGGTTTTATGCTGTGACAGACAAATCCTTATTCTTTGTAATTTAAGGCATTAAAACTCATGACAGATTGTTCCTTTGTCAGAAGTAAAGGTAGTAGTCAGCCCCTGCGTTCCGCAAGTCGCCAGCAAACTGCCTGAAGTGTGTAACACTCTGCCTGCCAAAACAGAGGTTTAGTCGCTACTTGTAACTGGGCTGTCGGATGTTGTAATGCTTAATGTCAAAGAATGCTGTGGAGCACACTTGCTATGAAGAATTTCTCTGATGAGCATGGTAGGGAATCCGTTATGCATCTCATTGTTGTTAATTGCCATGCCTGTGTGAAGTGAGAATGTATAAAGGACTCTTCTTCGCTTTCCTTACCTCATTTTGTCTCGATGTGTTGCAGTTTGATGAAGAGATGATGTTTCTCTTTTCCTTAGAAAACTTGTAGAATGTCTCGTGATATTTATTAACAGCCAGTCAGTCTTCTGCTCTCCAAAATGAATGTTTTGCTTACTGAGCCAGTAAAATTCCCTCCTTCCTAATTGAGGTGTTTAAAATTTCAGTAGCCCCGTCACTAAAATTGAGCCACAGGTAAATACAGATGAAGGCCTTTGCCGTTTGGAACAGCCGCTGCCTCTCACTGCGTCCTTTTGTCAGAATTTATTTTGATTTCACTGTTTTCCTCATCTGTGTCTACAGAGGCTTAATGGGAAGGACACGCCCGTAGGTCTTCGGGTTTTTTAATTACCAAAGACCAGAGAACTTCAGGCTCAGCACACGGTATTTCTGCCTAACAGGTCTCAGACAAAGTCCGCTCCGCTGGTGAGGTTATTTGACACACAAGAGAAAATCAAGTTGCATATGGAATCTACTTCTGTCAGAAAGGGTTTCCCTCCGGGCTCTGCTGAAGAACGGCTGCAGACAGTTCTGTCCCGAATTTGTCAGCTGAGCGAGCACTGTCTGCACACGTGTTCTTGTAACACACCCAAACCGGCATCGGGGTAGCCGTGTCCTCGTAAGGTGCAACAACGACACGGCCAATGCCATCTCCTGTTTAGCGTGGTCTTAAGACTGGGAGGTCATTACGTACCACTAACACGGGAACACCCCTCGAGCCAGACGGGTGCCCGTCTCCGTGAAGGCTCAGCCCCTCTGTGCTGAAGGGGCCGGAGGGTTCACACAGACCGTTTCCGAGTCTGGTGGGAGGGAGCTCGTGGCTACGACACGCCGCGTAATCCCGCTCAGTTAGGAGTTTTAAGACGAGCCTGACACACTGGGTTTGGTTAAGCTGCAGATTGAGATGTCTAAAGGCATAAGGAAGACCAACACGTTAGTGCAAAATTTGGCTGTTCTCCTCTCTAGCTGTCACTAGCTGTCCTTGACGCCACGAGTAGGTGCCTGGCAGCAGCGTGTCCGATGGAGGGAGGGACTGAAATGTGGCGCTTGAAGTAGCCCGTCAGTGTTTAGCTGTGGCTAATTTTAGATTCCACCTGAATGTACCAAACTCGCCTCAAAGCACGGAGTCCCTCCGCTACATCAGAAACAGGAAGAAAAAACAAAGAAGTATTTGGTTTGGATGAAAGGAAAGAAAACTATTTGCCTTCAATTCCGTTTATGTAAATAGACCTTTGAAGTGGCAAATACCACCATTTCTTCCCTTCCAGATCCGTTTGCCTCTGCCTGTACATACCCAGCTGGCTTGGTTTGTGGGGACCAGTCTGTATCTCGTTTCCTGGTGTGTGCTGTACGCAGAAGATGTCTTTCTTTTGTCTGTAGTGTTTTACAATTTGGGTTTTGTCTTTTTGCTTACTTTTTTGTATCTCACCCTTTGAATAAAATCAAGTGCCCTACATTAAACAAACAGAATGACTGGTCTTTAGTTAACTCCATGTAAGAATAGTAACCCCTGTGAAAGTTAAGGGCAGTATGTACAAAGCAGAAGAACACCAGGCTTAACTCGCCTCTCTCCTAACTGGGCAGGCTTTTGTTCGTGTCTGAGATAGGAAAGAGCAGCTGAAATATATTCTAACCATGATTTTGCAACTAACCAAGAAGAAAGCCCATAAAATACCCCTAAGGCAGAACAGTCAGAGTTACCTTCTCTACCTTAATTCTCCTTTAACTACCAGGCAAGACAAAAATCGCAGTCAGCACAGCCCATACATGACCTGTGCTTACTGAACATTACACATGTTCCACAACTTTCAAAGCTTACGCTTTCTTTTTCAAGAACGAAACCTGTTCGGGTAATGGCAGGCGGCTTTGCAAATCCAGCACGGGGAGGCTATGACAGATGCTGAGACAGCACAATGAAGTGCACATTCTTGTAAGACAGCAGCTGGGGGCTTGGAGATTGTTCATCTCTAAAAAATGCCTGAATAAATTTGTAAGCAAAACCCACAACGACAAAAGACTCTCTGAAATTCCCCCCCCCTCCTACAGTCGGAGCTATTCATGGATTAATTTCCTCAGACACCTTCACCTCTGCAGGGGAAGAACATCAAACACCATCTTCTATTTTCCTAGCTAAAGCGAGCAGCTTGGACTTGCTCTTCTCACCAGTACCTCTCTGTCATGGGTTCAGCTGGGATGGAGTTACCTTTGCCAGCAGCGGGCGTAGTGCTGGGGTTTGGGAATGGTGTTTCAGCACACTGGCGTTGTTGCTGAGCCTTTTCTGCTCCTCACACCGCCCCGCCAGCGAGCGCTGAGGGGCACAAGGAGTTGGGAGGGGACACAGCTGACCCCAGCTGACCAAAGGGATATTCCATACGATACGACATCATGCTCCATATATAAAAGTGGAGAAGAAGGAAGGGGGGAGGTTTGGACTTACGGCGTGTGTCTTCCCGAGTGAGCGTTATGGA